AAATGCCATAAAAGAATTCTTCAAGCAGCAGCCACAAAAATTCTTTAAGCAGGTTATACATCGATTGGTGAAAACATGGGATATGTGCCTTAATTGTAGTAGTAATTATTTGTAGATATATTTACCAATATTTTTTTTATCAAAGATGGGTTTCAACTGTGCATAAGCAAGAGTCAGCCAGCTCAAACATGTGGACGCGTCACAAAGCGCTTGCGACAAACCCTCTTTGATTTGGAACGCTCTATCCGCACGTTTGCGTTTGTGAGCATTTTTTGAGGTTTGCCAAGTGTGCGATAATCTATAGTTGGGCTTTTCTGTATCATGTTTTTCATCCACCGGCTGATCGCGTGACACCATAGCCATGCTTCTTCCGTTTTTGGGACCGAGGTATACAGGATTGTTGTTTAGCTCATTGATTAGGAGCCGCACTCTATAAGACAAAATGGCACATTGCTTGTCACCTGAACACTTCATTCCGGGTGTGCGGGTAAAGCTTGGCGGTGCCGCTGCAGCAGCAGGCGTGGAGCGTTGCGGGCGTGAAGTTTTGCCCCTGTCTAAAAATACCACCAGTAGCGCAGTATCGATCTCCGGCGGCGGAGCGGCATGGCGCGGTTCGACGCCGCGTCGGCAATACAGCGCGGCAAGGCGGCGAGCCAGCAGCCGTTCAATGGGTGCCCGATTCATTCACGAAATTTTGCCACCGCCTTCTCTGCCTGCCGCCGATGACGCCATCGCGTGAAGGCGGCGATAACACAGTACGAGTATATACACATCTGCGGCCGATACCTAACGCGGTTTTGAGAACTACCGCCTCTCGCTGCCGAAATATGTTATCATTTAGATAAGACTAGGACAAACTAGCCATTTTGTACTTCCCACGTCTGCTGGCGGAGGAAGTATTGTAATCGCGAAAAAATTCGAATATGAAATATTTTTAGATGTAATATGATATGTACATCACGAAAAATCATGTAATTTATTTCCGTCGATTTGATTGTTGTCGGTCTGCCCGTTAATCTTATAACCGCCTATAACTATAGAAGTAGATACCTCTCGGATGTTGATGAAATTTTTACACTACAATGCCATGGACGCAAATTTTTTTTGTTTTTGGTGGCAGAGAAAAAGGCAAAAAACGAAAAACAATGTCGCTCAAACTTGTACAATTTTTGAAATTGTTTTTGTATGGGTTAAAAATTGGGAGCTAGGAGTCACAGGAGGTGGAGGGTATATCTCAATGTTTTAACGTTGGTATATTTATACACTCTCCATCCCCACTAATGCTACGCACCTATTAGGCATATTTCACTCATATAATACATGTCCAAATACATTTAACCTTAAATCATTGAAACATCTCGAACAATCGCTTGTCGATACGTGGGACGTGGTCCCCCGATGGACGAGCATCGTACGTTACAGTCGGCAATCGCTTGTGTGCACTGTGCATGGTAAAGGCCAATATCAGTCCTGCACGGCCATTGTGTAAAAAAACTATAAAACGTAAAAAAACAAAATGTCATCTTGTAGACTAGGTAGTTTTTAAGGTGCAAATAGTTCATTCCACGTATGCTCGCTGTGAGCGTCTATCAATGGAGGAATGACTCAACTACACGCTTTGTTGGTTGCAGACCAGAAGTATGTGTTTTGTGAAGCCGAATAGTCTGTAGCGTTTATCTCTGAGAAGATGTGAAAGAAAGAAAGTTGGTTGAATAGCAAGTTCGGATCTGGATGATTATGTGTATTGGTATGAATGTGTATCAAATCAGCGATATTTGCTATGTGAGAAAATTATTACTAAATATGTTACGAATGAAGTATATCTATTAGCTGTGCCCGGCGGGTTTTTCATTTGTTGTCCTTTCTGAAGACAGGTTATGTTCAAAGTTATAAATTCCGATTTTTACCGTTTTTTGTGTTTTCGAACACTTTGAGGAGCACTACGCGAAATAGCCACCGCGTCCGCGTTGTATGCAATTAAGCCATATCACAGAAAAGTTAGGAGTGACACATCTCACTTCAAACATTTTCGCAGTGCCTCACTTCTAGGCGTTGATTTGTATTTTCTATTGACATCGCAAAATAAATTTTTGTAAAATTTAAATGGCTAGAAATAAAAAATAATGTAATAACCTTTTACCACTTTTATGAATATTCCTGTCTGTAGTATGTTTTCTCACCTGTTACTTCACCAACCAGGGATTTTCTTTTATCTCTCCCATTTTTGAAATTCAGAAAATTTGCATAGATATATAATTTCCAGAATGAATAAGAAAGAGTGGATACGCATTTAATTTCTAGCTTTGAATCTAGAGTAAGTGTATTTGAGACAAGAATCCGCTACCTGCTATCAATTTTGAGATTTGAGCGAGAAGTGGACTATGTTGAGACTTGAGATGGCTTAAATTTTACACTGCACGCTGATTTGCCAATTGTTCTTCTGTACGTCTTTTTCATTTGATCTTTGGGATTTTACTTTCATAAGATATTAGCTACAACTTCTTGCAATCCCATTCAAAGATCAACTCGTTTTATATTATAGGTTCTACCAAGCTGCCTGCAACAGTTATATGTCATCTATGGTTGTATAATATAATATATGTATATATGTATCTGTGTTAACGTTTAACTTTTCTCTTGCTGTTATTATTACTGATATACTATTTTTTTATGGTTAGGTGGAAGAGCGCGGATTGAGAACTAATGGTTGTCAATCAAGCGAACCTTGCCGTTTGCTCACTGCATCAGATTTATGTACTTTTTTTTCTGTACGTACATACATGAGCAATGAAAGCAATTTATTATGATTATTATTATTATCATCATCAAGACGTATTATTGCACACAAATCCTCACTATGCACTTATGCATTGCCGTTTTCTTCTAGTTGTAATATATAACTTGCAGCTTAGATCTCCAGTAGTGCCATCTCTGCTGCAGATCTTACATCACATCAAAGCCAAACATTGATAACTAAAACCTCATGACGTTTAGGCAACACGTACAATTACAAATCGAGTTCACAACTTGTCCATCAGCTAGTGCAAAGTTAACATCTTTTAGAAAAACCTACATAATGTCACAAAAACCAATACAATGTCAAAAAAAAAATCGACGTAATACCCGTGCGGATGATCACTGCACGTGATTGGCTAGGTTGAAAGGGAATCGGGTATGTTGGTTTAAGTATAACTGTTAGGCATAGAGTGGCATGGACTTTTTTGTGAATCATGATGTGCACTAGAAACATGTACGTTATTTTGTTTATCATCAATAGGGTTCACAGTGAATGCCAAATAGTTACTTTCTATAGGCAACTACCTTGGATTACAATTATTTTTATGTTTCAGCCAATATATAAGAAACGGTTATAAATTATATGGTTAAACCTTCCTCATGAATCTCTCTTTTTACTGGTGCAAACCATATGAAAATCTGTATACGATTTTTTGGATGAACGCATCCACAACACCGAGCATGTTTAGTATAAACAGCAACTTAAGAGTATGCAAACATAGACGCCGGCGGGATTAGAACCCGCATCTCTTCCATAACGCCGACCTAACCAATTTGTCTACAACACCAGCTGCCGTCGAACTTTCAGGATCCACTGCTAGGGCAAAATTCAATCCTACCCACGCCACTGTTCCTTTGCTTTTTCAAGCTGCTGGAAGGCCCATCTGGAGACATTCAAGTGAAACAAACCGTATTGGCAAAATATCTTATTCTATTTTGCCTCTACCTTATGTTGTTGTGTACTAAACATACTAGCTGTTGCGGATGCGATCATCCGAAAAATAGTATACGGGTTAAGGTTGATTCTCACTATACATTCCGTTTCCATTCCGTAACCGTTCCGTAAATTTTTCAAACTAAATAGTCGCCTTCGCTTAAGGCGTGTGTATGCACATACAGTTTGATTCTCACTATACATGCCGTTTCCATTCCATAACAGTTTCGTAAACGTTCAGTACAATTTGATTGTATGCACAGTATACCTTACGGATAATGTGCATACACACGCAATAGCTTGCTTTAAGCGAATTCGAATATTTAATTTCAATAATTTACGGAACGGTTACGAAATGGAAACGGAATGTATAGTGAGAATCAACCTTAATCCGTTCCGTTCACATACCGGCCTGCGTCTCTTCCATACTCATTCCTTCGAAACGTATTTTTGTCGGACAGGCGGAAACGTGTCGGAAATGATATGGCAAGTGTGAATTGAAGAGACGTTCCATAAATGCATTCTCTAAATTATTTTTTTTAATTCTGTTAATATGTGTCATCCTCCATTAACTTCGGAAATAATGTACCTAACATATTCTACGTCAACCCCGCGTTGCTTTAACATATTGTGAATACCGAAACGCCTTTTTGTTTTCTTTTCAAACGTTCTTCCTCGTCAAAAATAACAGCGGCAATAATTAAATTTTCTATTCGCTGATACTTATATTTGCACTTATTGATATCAATGAAAATCAGTCACCAGCCAATTGGTAGCTAGGAACAATTTGAATTTCAATCTGACCATTAATTTGATCTGACTAATGGTGACAGCAGAATATTTGCACCTTTGCTAGACCCCAGTTGACCGCATATGATACAGAGTTCACCATACAGACCATACCTGTATTTGATTATCAGTCTGATGATGCTTCCCTTTTTGTTCAGTGTGTGCCCGGCAATCAATTCAGTTCCCCCGACTACGCACGCCGCTCCCGGCGAATAGGTACTATACAGCAGCGATCACAAGAATGTGTTGATCAAACATTGAAACGTCATCCATTGAGCTCTAAAACCTAACTCAGATCCATATATTGTTACTTTTTATTCAGGTTTTCTGCTTTGTGACCAATAATGTACAAAGAATTACTTTTAGACAAACTTCTCCACAAAAATACGGCTACGACGCACATTATCTGATCTACTTCATTATTGCCTGCAACAACATTGGCTCCCATTTCAGATAACCCTAATTACCGTGAGTTTCCCTAATGCCAATAATGTTCTCCCTATTTCCTGGACTTTTCGTAAAATAATAGCGCTTCCATTCCCAATTCGTTGCAGCTTACTGGATAGCTTGCCTCAATATACAAAAAAACAAAGTTTTACGGCTCCTTAAATTTAACGAGACCTTATTTCTTTGTAACACTGTGTTTACACAACTTTAATCAGCTAAGTTTACCGCCAGAGCTCTTTATGTAGTGGATTAGGAACTTTGTAACCTTCTCAAGTACTTGCAGGTGCTTATGAAAGGGGGCTGACATTAGCTTTCTAATAAACAGACAAACAGAAGATATCAACGGCCTTTTGGCAGGTTAAAACCGATTTGCGCTAGGACCGGGCAGATTATAGCGTTTTCACCATAAGTAAAGCAGTATATAAAAAAAATTGCCCTTTCAAATTTTTTGTTATCAAAAATTTCACGTTATCTCTATTACCCAAATAGGTTGTTAATCCTTATTTAATTACCCGACTGCCTCATGTGTAAACGGCTTGATGGATATATGGAATAATGGATTCATAACCCGAATTCCATCATTGAAATTTCTAATTCACGGGCTACAGCTCAAAAGGTTTAACGGATTCTTACATTTATGACGTCCGGCGCAGGAGAGCTCAGTGTCCCATCCGACCTAAAAAATGAATAAGGTCATTTCTTACACAGTTGAGTTTTTGCATTTTTTAATAATGTACTTGTTTTTATATATTTATGTGAACCTTTATTGTTTCAGTTATTAGGTTCATGATATTTCTCATCTCTTTACTCTTCATCATCAAATTCATCTGGTTTTTTCCTTAGCAAATGTTTGTGACGGGCAGTCGCCAATTTATAGACGGCAGCACCAATCGCTAGTGCTGGAAAGTATAAATTTCGAGTTATAAAATACCTATAGTAATTCATACAACATAAATAACTGCGGTTTTTGCTGTTATATTACAACTCCTTCTGTCAAATTTGGATTTCTTATGTCCTTATCCGATTTTTGCAAAGTACGTACTAATTACATACTACATCCACATCAGCTTAGATAACAATCTGCAACTCTCCTGTCACTGTCAAAAACGGCCGCCATTTCAGCAGAGAAAGTCGCAAGCAAATTCCCCCTGTACAACGATGAACGAGGTTTTAGTGCTCAGCAGCAGCCGGTGTTGTCACGTACCCTGCCAGCGGCTCATGTTATTTGCAATCGTTTGTGTGAACCAATAATGAAAATAAATATGTGTGTCCAATAAGAAGCGACGAAGTATTGATAAGTTTTAAATATTGTCAGATTAAGGTGGGGCCGAAGATTCGCGAAAAACTGTCAGTCTGCGAAACCCAAAAGTTCGCCCATTTAGCCTAACAGACAAGGTTAAAAACGCTTTAAAATTATGTAATCTCAAAATAATCTTCGGAGTCTTGTAGAGCAAGGTTTTATCTTATTATATTGCTTATAAGTCGAAAATGGTCAGCTTTAGAGAAAATTTAATAGAAGCAGTTTTTGTTCGGGATGATCCAAAAAATCTGAAGATTCTTTCCGCGCAATAAATGTGATTTATTAAAATAACTAAGCAAGTCTGATCTGGGTTACCGTGCGGTTATATTCAGTGCTTAAAAACTCAATCAAGATATTGAAATTATTGAGATACTCAAGAATCTACCTTAAAGTTAACACATTACTCTATAAGACCTTGCACAGTATTTAGTATTTTTTAGTCTAATACAATCCGTCTGGTTAATGACTTAAAGCTAGGTTTCATTAACGCAGTCTCAAAATTCTTAAAATTTTAATTAAAAATATCAAGTGAGGGTGGACTAATATGGTAGTTTTTATTGACTGGTAGCCGTTTTGTCAGTGACAGGAGAGTTTCAGATGATTGTTATCTAAGCTGTGCTACATCTATCAGTGCTATTTTAATTGCCTATTTGGTATCCTTGTATCTAAATCTGAAATATTGCTTTGCCAAGGCATGCATGCACCATGTCCTTCCTTATGGGTCAAAATCATTAATAGACTTAAAGCATTGGAACTGTGGCTTCTCAGAGAATTGCTAAAAACATCTAAGATTGAGAAACTATCCAATAAAGAAGTGCTAAGGCATACGAAAATATAGCGGAGCTACCCATGTCAGATAAATGGCATATTTCGCACTTTTTCAAATATTGCATTTCTTTTATGTCTTGAAAAGTATCAACTTTAGAGTGGAGGTCTAAAGTAAAAACACTGACAAGAGGTATAAAACAAATTTTGGAGTTTATTTGAAAAAAATTGTTTAAAAAATCTATGACGCAAAGTGTCAGAACTAATACGTTATTCAATTCAGAAATTAAAACTTAGGTGTATAAGGGTTGTAACATTTTAAAACTGGACATTTTTATTGATAAAAAGGGCAAAACGGTTGGAGGATACTAATCTAGATACGAAATCTCATCAATGATGTACATGTACACAATAAATCTTCACAGTCTTTCAATCTATTGTGGTCTGTCTCCTTTTCAATCACTCGTCTTCAACTGTGCAGTTTTGTAATTACCCTGCCATCATAATTTTGTATAATATTTACTAATGTATTTTACGTATTTTTTTTGTCCATCATTCTATGTCACCCAGTATATTGAGTGAATTACACTGACAGATAGTGAGATCTGATGGCAAGTACAACAGTGCAACCAAGTACTCGTATTATTGATTTGCAGTAGTAGAAGTAATAAGAGCTTCTGTCCAGTGACCCTGTTGAGTTACTCTGAGTAACTCAGTAGTCCTCAGCACCAATACCGTTCCACTGCACGGTGTATTCTCATGCATTGTTTCTGGAGCAGTTCGGGAGCGTATCACTCTCAAATCGAGAACCACTAGAAAGCTGTTCTGGAATCACTTTTTCAGATCAAATGTTCAACCATGATATTGATGAAAATTGGGTATATTGGTCGTAAATTCAATACTCACGTGGTACTACATACAGGAACTCTTCCTTGCATCTTCTGTAAGTCCTCCAAGTAGCATGTGGTATGTTGGGAAATATCTTCAAATGATGTGGAGAAATGGAGTAGGTAACAATTCTTCGCATAATATAAGGTACATATTTAACCATTTTGATAATCTTCACCTGTTGTCACTATGAAGTAACAAATTGTCATGTTCCTAAGCAACTATTTCACATTTGTTTATTGATCAAGGCTATCAAGTTTAAGTGGGGTTTTGACACATTTTGATTACGTCTTTGCTTAGTTTCGTTAAAATGATATAGGTTTTCTTCAATATGCCGAGTCTGTCAAGCTATCTTTCATCATTTTACATTCCACGCCTACGGGCGAGGAAGTGACGAAAGAACATGCCACTTATTTCAGTTGGTATGTCTGTATGTCTCTCTGCCTGTCTATTTGCCTGTCAGTAGGTCTGGCAGTCTGTCCGCTAATCCTTGGCCCGTCTATAACATGGAAAGTACCTGTCGGATTTTGATGAAATTTTTACAGATGGTTGATACTATGATAGCGACGTAGAAGCTCGATCTAGTGGCGACGGAGAAAAAGGCCAAAAACGACAAAAATTAAAATTGCTCAAATTTCGCTTTTTGACGTTTCAGAGGATCCGGATGCTTTTAGAAAACTTATTAATACACTTCCACCTCTGATAAGTTTACGCACCCATAAGACACATTCAGACTTCCCCGTACATTTGCTCTTGGAACGATAGAAAAATGCTTATTGACAAACATCCATGTGTCTGCTCACTTCGACGGCCGCGGCCGGCGTTCCGGTGTTGGTATGTGTCCTGTAGGCGCTTTGCCGTATGTGACGCGTCATGCTTTCCAATATCCTGGGGAGAGGCGGTGCGACTACGGGTAGGGCAGGAAAGAATGTCTATGGACTTATTGTATGGACCTGTTTCACAGACTTGATCCATTAAAAGGGCCGATTTCACCAACATTAATATTATGGATCAATGGGAAAATACCTTATCGAAATGCAGTTTGACAGAAGCTGTCAAAGGTCTCTTAATATTAACCAGATACCAGATACCAGATACCAGACACCAGATACCAGATACCTCATACCAGATACCTGATACCAGATACCAGATACCAGATACCAGACACCAGACACCAGATACCAGATACCTCATACCAGATACCTGATACCAGATACCAGATACCAGATACCAGATTCCAGATTCCAGATACCAGACACCAGACACCAGATACCAGATACCAGATACCAGATACCTCATACCAGATACTTGATACCAGATACCAGATACCAGATACCAGACACCAGACACCAGATACCAGATACCTCATACCAGATACCTGATACCAGACACCAGATACCAGATCCACATACCAGATACCAGATCCACATACCAGATACCAGATACCAGAAAGCATATACCAGACACCAGATACCAGACATCAGATACCAGATACCAGATACCAGATAGCAGACACCAGATACCAGATACCAGATACCAGATACCAGAAACCAGATACCAGATACCAGATACCAGAAACCAGATAGCAGATACCAGATCCACATGCCAGATACCAGATCCACATACCGGATACCAGATACCAGATACCAGATAGTAGACACCAGACACCAGATACCAGATACCAAATACCAGATACCAGATACCAGATACCAGATACCAGATACCAGATCAAAGATGCCAAAGGATAAAAGATGATTAGAGATAGAGATAAAGTTATCGCTAGCATTGCATTAGCATACCAGCAACTGCGCTACGTGAGGTTCTAAATAAAGACATCAACGTACAATATTTTGCATAGCGTTAGCGTGCCAGCAACTGCGCTAGTAGTAATTAAAACATGATTCAAAAATCAAACATTTCTTAAAATTTTGACTGAATTATATGTAATTTCTTAATATTCAATAAGCTGGTAATGTTTCAATGACAAGTTGTCATCTCATACTTTGACAGTATTTTGTTTTCAACATTTCATAGCTATTGGTTGCTAAAATTTGTTGATTGGAACTTGAAGCTCATTCGCTGTATCTGACGGGCTGTTACCCTGTAGGTGGAGAATAACGGACTGTTGTTGGTGAAATTGGGCCTTAATGTCTCTGTTATACATCTTCGTAAGTAGCTTCTGTCTTTTTTTGGCAATTCATCAGCCTTGTCTAGGCTTGGTCTCTGAGGCAACGAACGAAATCGAAGCAACTATCCGCTATCCAGGCTATAAGGTCTATGATTTTATCTTCTTTCGATAGGGTCTATCTTGTGAACTGATGTCGGCATTGCGTGGGAAGTATAGAATGAACCTACTTGATTCCATTGTTTCATTTGTATCTCCGCATAAGTATTACGCTGGTGCATACTTTCCATTTGCCGTTATCTGCTATGACCATCTGTGGGACCTTTGCCTTCAGGTCAAAGTACGTCGATCAGTTAATTTTCATTTCGGTCTGCTACCCAAAAAGCAGATAAAGTTGAAGCCAAACAATAGACGAACTAAGGAATGAACGAATATGGATTGCAAGTAGTAAGAAATATAAATATTAGAAAAGGGTGCGTCTAATCATTGTGTTTCTCATTGCACTTCCTTATTGCTCGGGTATTTAAATAGTTAAATACCGAAAATAGATTTATGAAAAACCGGGAGATTTCATGCGCGGCTGTCAAAACATACAAATTGGAAGCCGTTCACATCCAGTAGTGGTGCAATACAACTTTTAACATGGATTTTTCCAGTGAATTACCATGTGTGGATACAGTTTTCTCATCCAATTCGTCTATGAGTTTTAACTATTTTAAGATGTCCATATTTTGTAATTGCTCGAAATAGCATGTGGTATGATATGTCCATGTCTATAATATATGCAAATTCGACTTGCAATAGACATTTAACTCAATTGCACGCTCAATGAGCTGACGCGATGCTAAAGGAACCGCGACAACATTTAAGCATACAGCCTCGCTTCCCTTCACGTGCGTGTGCGCGCTGTCATTTATTGAAATGTACTTAAGTTATTATTTCCATTACTTTTTTGTTTAGGAAAAAGCGAAGGATTTCACTTCGTGATGTCAATTGTGATCGGGAAAGCAAAGGAGAATTTCACACAATATTTCATAAACTAAGGGAGGATAGAGAGAGATTTTTGCCTATTTTAAAATGACTGTGGACTGTTTTGATAATATTTTGAATTTGGTAAAGCCAGATATAACAAAGGAGTTCACATATTACCAAAAACCGATATTACTAGCTGATCCCCTAACAGTAGCAATAATTAGTAAGTAGAAATTCAGTGATACGTAATTATAAATATTTGTGTAGCTTCTTTTAATTTTTATATAAAATACAAAATATATTTTAAGAAGCTTTAAAATAATATTAGTTCCGTTACCAAAAGCAGGTGATGGCAAAGTGGTACCTTCTTGCCTTTGACACCCGACGTCCATGTTATGGAGCGAATGTCCAAAACTTTCATACCATGTTGCAGATGATGATGAGGGGTCACTATGATTTGATATGGTAGAGGAAACCTATTGAGGCGAACTAAGTGGTAGGAATGATTTCGCCGAGTTCAGCCTGCGAAGTGCAGTTGAAACATTTCCCTGTTGATGTTCTTGTTCTTCTATTTGCACTACTTCTGCTCCCATTATTATTTGCGCAATTTTGAATTCAACCATTGTTTGTTGCCTTAAACTTCTTTACAGTTTTGGCATATCCTTGAAATAAATGGTCAATTTCATCAAGAGTAGAGTTATTTCAGTTTCTTCTATCCAAGTATGCGATTACCTGCTCTGCAGATGATGATGGTGCCAGCTACTTCGTCTTGTTTCTTTTCTTCTTTCTGTTGTTCACTTTTATCATCTTTTTTATTTGCAGGCTCATGGCTTTTGTCAACAGGTTGGCAAATTGCCTGAACCGCTTGCTGAGATAGTTGTCTTTCTTATCCCTTTGCTCAATCTGGTCAGTAGAATCAAATTCTGATTGCTCGTCTACTGGTTGACCCGGTGCTGATGATAAATTAGAATGCGTTTGGGCAAACTGCAAAGAAACTCTCAAGAATTGCATTTGCTGTGCCCAAGGCCATATTTTATACCGTTCCAATCTTTTGTTTCTTGTTCTTCCAGTTTTTGTTTCTTCGCTTTTCATGTTATTTGGTGTAACAATCAACACACATTTTTTATTTTTAATAACATGCATGTTTAAGGTACATGTGTTTTTCTAAGCATTGATGTTTTCACTCTGTATATATTTTAGGGTACCTTACGACAGGAGATTCCTTTAAAACTATTGGCCATAAGTTTTCTGATGGGACTCAGAACGCTTAGCTCCATAGTTTTGGAAGTTTGCTCGGCTATCTGGAATCGCATGCAGCCCTTATACATACATGAACCAAGCAAAAAACGTGGGAAAAAACTGTTGCTGGTTTTCAAGAAAAATGGAAATATCCAAACTGTATAGGCATCATCAATGGAAAACATACAACTATTAAATGTCCTAATAAAACTGGCTCAAATTACTTTTGTTATTTGAAAAAGTTTTCTTGTGTCCTATTAGATGTCGTCGATCATGATTACAAGTTTCTGTGCATTGATGTGGGTGAGAGTGAAAGTACCTTCCATGTGTCCGAAGACAAACCCTTGCCGGGCCAAGTCGACTTGACATCGTGTGTACTTATAGGAGATGAAAGCTTTTTACTTCAAGAATTTCTAATGCGACATATCCCTTACCCCCAGTCAATGCGAAAAAAGAAATATTTAATAAAATACTATGTCGGACACGCCGCCGTGTCATAGAAAACGCGTTTAGTATCTTATCTCATAAATGGCGTGTCCTTTTTAGACCAATCGAAGTAAAACTTGGAACAGGAATAAATATTGCTAAAGCTCTTAGTGTCCTACACAATTACTTGCACATAAAAAATGTGACCAGTTCTTTAATTTGTTAGAAGAACAGCAGGGACCTGGGAGTCAAATGATGCCCGAAGATCCACAAACGCAGTGTTTCATATATGTGACAAATTTGTTTTATATTTTAATAATTAGATTTAATTTTTTGTATAACTAAACATCTATATCATAATTTGTCTTGTTTTTAATATGATTCATGCAGCATTCTACCGCAGGCCGCAAGTAGGCTGCGGCAAAGAGAGCGTGCGCGTTTGCCAA